TAAATCTGAAACAACCTATCTTCTGCGACATCTTAAAAGGATACCTGTACCTCTCCTAGGACCTTCTATAAGGTAACTCCAATCCTCCCTCCTTCACCCCTCAGCTAAACAGAGTAGCCTAGAGGCATGGAAAAAGCAGCTTCTTTCTTCAGTTGACAGCCTCAGACCTGAGAGGTGAGGTTAGAGGCCCCCTTCAGAGAAAGGGCTGGCTTGCTCCCCCACCTGCCCTATTCCTTTCAGGGTCACAAAGTCACGTTTCTGAAAGACTCTCTTGGGTTCCCTGGATTCCAAACGATCTTCCATCTTGGAAATTTCATCTCCTTTCTGGCTCTTCACCCCCAACCTTTATCTTTCCTACGCCTCTCCATCCCTTCTCATTTTTTCTTCTACCTTCTCTCATAATACTAATGACAACAGCAACACGTGCTACCTAAGCATTACCATGTGTCAGGCACTGTGCTAAGTAAAGAATATTCGTTATGTCACTTAGTCCTCACAACAAACTGCAGTGCCTCTGTTATCCCAGTTTACACACGAGCCAGCCCGTTTGACTCAATCTTCTTTCCAAAGCCCTTGCTCTCTCCATGGCAGGCCCCCATGCCTCCTACATCACCTTGGCCTTCTCTGACTCTGACTGTTCACTCCCTTGGGACCCAAATACAACTCCTATCTCCGACTCTAAACCCCCTTACTGAACCTGCTCCCAGAATTCTCACTTCACAAAGCCCCTTCGCTCAAGAGTCGCCTCTCCTAATCAACCACCAATAAGGTCCTCTTGCCTCACTCATCTCCTCGACCAGTTTTCTCTTAGGACCCCTACCTCACACCGGTGGCCCCTTCTCGTTCCCGCCGCGGGTGCGTCCGTTGGGGACCGCGAACGGGAATGCGCCTGCGCACTGGGACCCTCACCCTAACTGCAGCCGCGCACCCCAAGGGGTGGTTGTGGAGGGGCTCTCGAGCTCCCACACACGCACACTCTGCCAGGGCTCCTGGGCGGTGGGAGGGGAGGGAAAGAGGGAAAGGAGAGGGGGAGGAGGAAGGACGCAGAGGAAAGAGGGCGCAGCTGGCACGAGCCAGCAGTCTACCCCCCAGCTCCGCGGACACTTCCTATTGTTACTAGGAAACAGGAAGTGTCCTAGCCGCAAAAGCTTCCCCGCGAAACTTCCGCCTTAAAAATGCTTCTGTCCCGCCTCCAAGCAGCGGTTCTACACAGACACATTTCCGGTGCTAGATGAGAAGCGGCTAACGCGCGACTCTGACCCCGCCCACGTAGGTCAAAGAGCTGTGTCGTTCTGCACTAATCTTAGCCACACTTCCGGGAAGAGCCGCTAAAATCGTTACGGTGCATATTGGGTGAGCGCAGAAGAGGATAAAAAGGGTTCTGCAGCCCTGGCCTCAGTATTTTGGCGACACTTTTCCTGGGGCTTCTTGTAAAACTTCTAAAGACAGATGAAGGGAGCGTCATTTACTCCTTGCTATTAAGGGAAATGTTGTGGAATATAAGCGGATTTAGGTACTACAAATCTTGGGCATGGCCTTTCTGTCCTCCCACCTTCTAGTTCACGGTGATCTATCCCCAGGCTAGCAATAGCCGGTGCATCCCGTAAACCTATTCCGGTGTCCTCTGTCATTAGCACCCACAGAGACCCCCTGCAAGGTGTTTCTCCGCCACCTTCGGCTGGGGGGTGCTCGGATAAACTTTGCCTTCCTCCCTAGCGGGAAAAGCTCCCTTCCACTTCCGCTCGCCGGCCCCGCCTCCCGTCCCTCCCCCTCCACCCCCCCAAGCTGGGTCCTAGCGCCTGCCGCGCCCTGGCTGTGTCCCGGGCTCCGTCGGTGAGAGGAGCTGCCGTTGACGCCACAGAGCCAGCCCCAGTCTGTTCAGGTAGGAAATGCCGGCGGGAAGCCGCAGGGACCCCCGAGCAGTCCCACTGCGGACGCAATCCGAGCGGGCCTCAGTTTCCCTGTGGGTGCAGAGGGCAGATGGGGTTGGCCTGGCGCGAGCGGCGCGGGCGGGGCGGGAGGAGTGCGGCCCCGGGAGGGCGCGGGCGGGCGGGCTCTGGGCCCAGCGGGTCCTAGAACCCGCCGGCTGTCCCGGCGGACCGGCTGCAGCAGACGCCTGGGCTAGGGCGGCATGGCTGCCCGCCTTGCGCCGTGCGCACACGAGGGTCCTAGAGCCCGCCATGTTGCGGGCTTTTGTCCCAGGCGTGCGGCCCGTCAAGCACGGTCCCCGGAGCCGGCGGCCCCCCTCCCCGGTCGAGGTCCTGGCCGCCCCTCCCGCGGTCCTAGAGAACGCCATCTTGCCGGCCTTTGTCCAAAGTATGGCCTTCGGTCCATTCATTTGTTCATTCTGTCATCCTTCGTTCACTCCTTCTTGCCGCGTTCTCCGATTCCTCGTTTTCCCAGGGCTTTTCCTGAGAAGAGGCAGCCCAGGGCCCTGCCCTGCGGGGCTGTCTGTCTGCCGGGGGCCCGACACGTAGACAGTTGCAGGGAGCGAGAATGCACAAGGTTTCCGCAGCTCTCGGCTCTAACGACCTTAAAACTCCCACATGCCTCAGAAACCTCATTTTACTGATGAGAAAACTGAGGCCCAGAGAGCCATGGCGCTCTTACCTCTATAGTCTTATTAAGTATTCCTGAGGGCACTGGGGAAGCAGGTATTTGAAAGATGCAAAAGAGTTTTCCCACGGGAGAAGGCAGAGGGAACTGCATATGGAGATGTATTTAGGTGGTGAAGTTTGAGAATTGTGGCTGGAGCTAAGGTCGCTGTCGGGAGGGGCACACTGCCCCTGGAGGTGAGGCTGGAAAAGTGGGTTGGGATTAGATTGTGGACTGACCAGATTGGATGCCTAGGAGATGATTAGTTCTTATCTCTGCATGGTTCACAGTTCCCCATCTGCCGTCTCACCGGATCTCTCATGGCCTGTGAGGCCTATTGGTAACTACTTGTTTAGAGGCGGGGAGACTGAGGTGCAGAGAGGATAAAAAGTGGCTTTTCACCTCATCACTGCCCTCAGGGTTCTAAACTCTGGGAATTAAATCTCTGCATCCCTGGCATTTAGAGCCTGTTCATGCAGCAGGACGTGTCCCGCCCCCTAAATTCAGTAGTAAACAAAGACAAAGACAAGCCTCCCTCACCAGAGCACTGAATCCACTGTGGGATACTGGGGGCGATATTTGGACCCTGTGAACTTGGAAAAGCAGAGAAATTCAGTTACTAAATAGTTGTTGACCGACATTCTTACAAACTCCTACTATGGAGGAGGCAGAGGCTATAGACCTGGGTTCAAATACCGCCTCGGAGGTTGATTTGTTCAGTTTGTTTTGGGCACCAAGCATGGTTCTATGTGTAGAGGATACAGAATAATAAAGGTTCCTGGCTCTTTGCCAGCCTAGACTCTCAAGCTGGAGACAGAGAATTAACTGAACCATACAATGTATAAGTGCTAGCAAAGCAATAAGCAGGGGACAGAGGGCAGAAGTTTGGGAGGCAGAGACCACCTGGCTTTGAGTATTGGCTGTGACTATGACTAGTTTCTTCACTTCTGTGTGCCTCAGTCTCCTTGTCTGAAAAATGGGGGGAAAATAATACTATTTAACTTAGTCTGTTTGGGCTACCATAACAACAACAACAACAATAACAGACTGGGGGGCACAACAGAAATTTATTTCTCACCGTTCTGGAGGTTGAGGTGTCCAAGATCAAGGTGCTGGCCAATTCAGTTCCTGGTGAAGGCTCCTTTCTTGGATCGTATGTGGCCACCTTCTGTCTTAAGTTCTCACATGGCCTTGCTTCCATGCATGCGCACGTTCATCCATAACAAACTCCTAGGCCATCGTGAGGCTTAGCTTGAGTAGCACACATAAAATGCTTAGAATGATACCTGGCCCATGGTAAATTTGCAAGAAGTGTCATCCAGATGAGCAACATGAAGGAAATTAAACAGGAGGGGGATAGAGAGTGATTAGCAGGGGTGCAGATAGCATTAAGAAAGGTGGTCAGGAAAGCCCTCTTTAGGGATGTGACAGGGAGCTGAGACCCAAATGGAATCAAAGAGATAGCTACACAAAGACCCTTGGAAATAATGTTTCTAGCAGAGGAAACTACTAGTGTAGAGTCCCTGAGATGGGAAGGAATTTAAGTCTTTGAGGGGAAAAAGGGGGAGCCTGTGTGGGTAGAGCCTAGTGAGCCAAGGGGAAAGGAGTGGGAGATGGGATAGGCAGGAGTTAGATAGTTCAGGGCCTTGCTTGCCATGGAAAAGATATTGGTCTTTGTCCTGGGAGCGGTGGAAAGTCTCATGATTTGGCTAATAAACCTTAAGTAAATGAAGACTGGTAGAGAAAGAGCCCAGCCCAGGGACCTGAAGACTCGTGTTTGAGTCTGGGCTCCTTGACTAGCTGTGTGTCCTTATGTAAGTTTTTTCCCTTACGGGGGCCTTAATCTCCACATCTGAAAAAGAGGTGTATTAAAAATGCCTCTCTCCTAGAAGCTTCTGAAAACCTAAGGTTCTTAAATAAGTGTTAGTTGGAATGACCCAGAAAGCATGTTTAGAATAGATTTCTGAGTCCTACCCCATGCTCCCTGCATGATTATTTTCATGCAGGGAGTTCACAGAATCACTCTAGGGAGTGGTGGGTGGAAGAGTCCTCCGTGAACAGGGAAGTGAAGAGCTGATGATGGTTTTTTTTTTTTTTTTTTGCGGTACGCGGGCGTCTCAATGTTGTGTCCTCTCCCGTTGCGGAGCACAGGCTCCGGACGCGACGCGCAGGCTCAGCGGCCATGGCTCACCGGCCCAGCCGCTCCGCGGCATGTGGGATCTTCCCAGATGGGGGCACGAACCCTCATCCCCTGCATCGGCAGGCAGACTCTCAACCACTGCGCCACCAGGGAAGCCCCTGATGATGGGTTTTTGTTTTTTTTAATATTTACTTTTTTGGTTGCACTGGGTCTTTGTTGCGGCGTGCAGGCTTCTCTAGTTGTGATACGCGGGCTTAGTTGCCCCGTGGCATGTGGGATCTTACTTCCCCGACTAGGAGTCAAACCCACGTCCCCTGCTTTGGAAGACAGATTCTTAACCACTGGACCACCAGGGAATTCCCAACGGAGGGGCTTTAGACAGGGGCCTAGCCTACCTGACCCTTCGTTCTTTATGGAGCTTGTGCCTGGCACGCCCCTACTATTTCCCCTGGGAAGTGCCTTAGGAGAAGGGATTTACCCCTCCAGCTACCTGGTTTCTGGCTCACAGATGGGAAGACTGAGGCCCAGAGCTTGGAACCCACGGTTCCAGCCCTCTGAGAGGGAAACAGAAACATAAAGGGTGCTGGCTCTGGTCTCCAGGGACTTCTACAGGAATGAGAGGAGACCAAGGTGTAACCTGAGCTCAGGGTTCTGGTCATCGTGGGGCTGGCCCAGGTAGCAGATAAGCCTGGGAGGGCCCAACTACTCAAGGCGAATTAAACACCTGGATTCAAGTCTCAGCTGCACGAGTTACTAGGTATGTGACCATGGGTTAATCACTAACCTTCTCAGAACCTCAGTTTATTAGTCTGTAAAATGAGGACAATAATCCCTATCTCAGGAAGCTATGAGAGAATTAAATAAGGTTGCACACTCAGCAAGGTGTCTGGCTCTGAGAAGATTCAGTAATTGAGGGCAGTAATTATTCTTACCTCATTCAGCCCTCGCCCAACCCTGTGAGGTAAGTAGTGTTATTACCTCCCTTTTTTCAGATAAGAAAACTGAGGTCCTATGGCATGAAGTAAATTGCACAAGGTCACAGCTAGGAAGTGAGGAAGGTAAGATTCGAAGCCATGCAGTTTGGCTTCGGAGACTGCACTTAACAACAATGCTAAATTGTTTCTCTGGGCCTCAGTTCCCTTATCTGTGAAAGGGGGTAATAACAGAACGTTTTTCATGGTGCTGACATGAAGTGCAAGTAAGTTAATACATGTAAAAAGGTTAGGATGTTGTCTGCTGTTTAGCAAGTGCCCGGTAAATGTGAGCTATCATTTTCTTTCTTTTTTTAATATTTACTTATTTATTTGGTTGCACCAGGTCTTAGTTGTGGCAGGCAGGCTCCTTAGTTATAGCTCCCGGGGTCCTTAGTTGTGGCATGCGAACTCTAAATTGTGGCATGCATGTGGGATCTAGTTCCCTGACCAGGGATGGAACCCGGGCCCCCTCCATTGGGAGCATGGAGTCTTATCCACTGAGCCACCAGGGAAGTCCCAGGCTATCATTTTTATTAAGGAGAAACTTTATCAGACTGTCCAGAGATGATCTAGAAAGGAGGTAGTGAGGGCCTCATCCAAGGATAGGCAGATTCCCTAGAAACTAGGCGGAATTCAAGCCCTGGGGAAGGCTGGGCCTCAAGCCCTTTAACTCACCTTCCAGCCCTAGGATTTAATGGGAAAAGTGAAAAAACCAAGCTGAGGGTGGAACAGAGCTGTGTGGGATGTAGGGCAGAAACCAAAGGGGAGATGCAGGAAGACCTTCCTTTGGGAAGTAAGGCTCTTCTTTTTTTTTTTTTGCTGTACGCGGGCCTCTCACTGTTGTGGCCTCTCCTGTTGCGGAGCACAGGCTCCGGACGCACAGGCTTAGCGGCCATGGCTCATGGGCCTAGCCGCTCCGCAGCATGTGGGATCTTCCCGGACCGGGGCACGAACCCGTGTCCCTTGCATCGGCAGGTAGACTCTCAACCACTGCGCCACCAGGGAAGCCCGGGAAGTAAGGCTCAAAGGAAGGATTGGTAGGATTCATAACAGCCGGGAAGGACCTGGGAACTTGCATGGTGTGATGGAAGCCATGAAAAATTCTTGAGCAGGGGACAGAGCATCACATGGTACCTTAGGGAGAAGACTCCGGCTGCCTGTGCACACTAGATTGTGTGTGTAGGGGTGGGAGACTGAGGCAGGGCCACCAGGCAGAAGGGTGCTGATTCTAAAGATGCAGCCCTTGCCAATCACCCGGGGACTCCTGCATCCTCCCTGGGTCATAACTTAGAAGACACCAACCCCTGAGGTATACAGATGAGGAAACAGGCCTAGAAAGGAGTGCTAGAATCCAAACCTCCTACCTCCCAACCCATCTTTTGGACACACCTGGCTCCCCTCCCCTCTCTATAACATTGTCCTTCCCCCCACCCTGGCTGCCCCAGCAGCTGCTGCACCTTAAGTGGATCTGATGTAATCCTCTTCCCTTTATCCCCCAGGGAGGATGAGCTGGTGTTAAGACTAATGCAGCTGTTAATCCTATTTCCTCCCAGCCATGATCTGCGGGAGCAGCTGGGTGGAGGCTGTCTGGGCTCTGAACAGAGAAAGAAGGGGCCATAGCTAGAGTGGGTGTCCCAGGAGGCCAGGCCAGAGCAGATACATTGAGTATGAGACAGAGACTTCTAACTTCTGCTAGCAATGGCTCAAGCTGCTTTGAGAGTAATTGAACTTCCCATTACCAGAGTTATGGGAGCAAGAACCAAAGACCCATTCCAGAGCAGAGGGTGGACCAGGATTCCTATCTGGGGTGGAGTACCTTACAGCTGTGCAAGGCCAGAATTCTGTGTGAACAGTTGCTGCCTCTGAAAGCTAACCAACCAGAGGGGAAAGACAAAATACATACGCTGGGGACCTGTCCCTTCCAGACAGATGGTGCCAATGACCACATTTAGCCCACTGGCTCTGCCTTCTTCTGGACCTACCTCTGTCTTTCCTGAGCACTTGGAGACCTTCAGGCCAGACCCACATCTAGGTAGCCTCCGTGTCTGCAGCCTTGCACAGGGCTTGGATTCTGAGCTGTAGAAGGAAGATGGTGAGATGGACAGAGCCTGGGCCTTCTGGGAATGCCACAGGGTTTGGAGAAGCCCAGAGGCTGGGGAGGGAAGTGCAGGTGGGCATTTCGATGATCCCGGCCTCTCTTAGTTCCTCTGAGGTCACCTGGTCCAGCTCCTTTCATCAGTGAACAGACCAGAGAGGAAACTTGAGCGCAGAGAGACAGGAATGTTTGCGAGGAAGGATGTGCATCCCAGGTGGGAAATGCAGATAAGATAGAGTTCCTTCTGAGGCCTCAGAGGGCTTTAGTGAGGAGACAGGCCTTGGAGAATTGGAAAGGGGTGTGGCTTCTAACTTTGCCTCTCTTGCAGAGAAGCCCCGCCCATCCAGGCCATGGAGGTAGAGTCATCGGAGGAGAGGTCCCCAGCCCCTGGCTACAAGCGCTCTGGCCGTCGCTATAAGTGCCTGTCCTGTACCAAGACGTTTCCAAATGCACCCCGGGCAGCACGCCATGCTGCCACACATGGGCCTGCAGACTGCACAGAGGAGGTGGCCGAGGCAAAGCTGAAGCCAGAGACAGACCCCAAAGCGGAGGATGCCAGCGGGGACAAGGTGTCAGGTGCAGCGGCGAAGCCTCGGCCGTATGCGTGCCCGCTGTGCCCCAAGGCCTACAAAACGGCACCAGAGCTGCGCAGTCACGGGCGCAGCCACACGGGCGAGAAGCCCTTCCCTTGCCCCGAGTGCGGTCGCCGCTTCATGCAGCCCGTGTGCCTGCGCGTGCACCTGGCCTCGCACGCCGGCGAGTTGCCCTTCCGCTGCGCGCACTGCCCCAAGGCTTATGGCGCGCTCTCCAAGCTCAAGATCCACCAGCGCGGTCACACCGGCGAGAGGCCCTACGCCTGCGCCGACTGTGGCAAGAGCTTCGCTGACCCCTCGGTGTTCCGCAAGCACCGGCGCACGCATGCAGGCCTGCGGCCCTACAGCTGTGAGCGCTGCGGCAAGGCCTATGCTGAACTCAAGGACCTCCGTAACCACGAGCGGTGAGGGCGCTGGGCTGGGTGGGGGGCAGCTGAAGGGGTTGGGAAGAGCGCACCAATAGCGTGAAGGCGTTGAGTCCCAAAGATCGGAAGGAACCAATGGGAAAGTGAGTGAGGCAGAGCTATGGGGGCAGAGGGTGAAACTGGGGTCTGATTGGCCTGGGTTCCTGGACTAGGAAGGGGGTGGGGCTTGAAGTTGGGCTGCTGCCCAGGAGGTACGAGTGGGGGCCGGGTCTGTTGAGTGCAGAGATGGATCTAGAACACCTAGACACCCAGCCTGAAAGTTTCTTACTCTGAGGTACAGACCTGTGGCCCTTAGGGGATTGGGCCAAGGCTCCAGCGATGTTAGGGGGCCCTAACGTACAGTACAGACAGGCGGCGGGGGTCGGGCGATGGGCTGCCACCTTCACTCCGGGCCTCTCCACTCCCACAGGTCCCACACTGGCGAGCGCCCCTTCCTCTGCTCAGAGTGCGGGAAGAGCTTCTCCCGCTCGTCCTCGCTCACGTGCCACCAGCGCATCCATGCGGCGCAAAAGCCCTACCGCTGCCCGGCCTGTGGCAAGGGCTTCACGCAGCTCAGCTCCTACCAGAGCCACGAGCGCACGCATTCTGGCGAGAAGCCCTTCCTCTGCCCCCGCTGCGGCCGCATGTTCTCCGACCCCTCGAGCTTCCGGCGCCACCAGCGGGCGCACGAGGGTGTGAAGCCCTACCGCTGCGAGAAGTGTGGCAAGGACTTCCGGCAGCCGGCCGACCTGGCCATGCATCGGCGGGTGCACACAGGCGACCGGCCGTTCAAGTGCCTGCAGTGTGACAAGACCTTTGTCGCGTCCTGGGACCTCAAGCGGCACGCGCTGGTGCACTCCGGCCAGCGGCCCTTCCGCTGCGAGGAGTGCGGCCGAGCCTTCGCCGAGCGGGCCAGCCTCACTAAGCACAGCCGGGTGCACTCGGGTGAGCGCCCCTTCCACTGCAACGCGTGCGGAAAGTCCTTCGTGGTCTCGTCAAGCCTGAGGAAGCATGAGCGGACCCATCGCAGTAGCGAGGCCGCAGGGCCTCCCCCGCAGCAGGAGCTGGTGGTGGGGCTGGCGCTGCCGGTCAGCGTGGCAGGCGAGGGCTCAGCAGCCCCGGCAGCAGGGGCTGGGCTCGGGGACCCTGCAGCAGGGCTGCTGGGGCTGCCTCCGGAATCGGGTGGTGTGATGGCCACCCAGTGGCAAGTGGTGGGCATGACGGTGGAGCACGTGGAGTGCCAAGATGCTGGGGTTGGGGAGGCTCCTGGTCCCTTGGGGGGGGCAGGCGAAGTGGGGGGTGAGGAGGTGGATGAGAAACCACCACAGTTTGTATGCCGGGAGTGCAAGGAGACGTTCTCCACGCTGACGTTGCTGCGACGGCACGAGCGCTCGCACCCAGAGCTCCGGCCCTTCCCCTGCACCCAGTGCGGCAAGAGCTTCTCAGACCGGGCTGGGCTGCGCAAGCACAGCCGCACCCACAGCTCTGTGCGCCCCTACACCTGCCCCCACTGCCCCAAGGCCTTCTTGAGTGCCAGCGACCTGCGCAAGCACGAACGTACCCACCCTGTGCCCATCGGGACCCCCACGCCCCTCGAGCCCCTCGTGGCTTTGCTAGGAATGCCTGAAGAGGGGCCAGCCTGAGTCCCAGGCCCCCTCTGCCACACTCCTGGGAGCTCCGCCCCTACAGGGTGCTTCCTGAACCTCCCTTTGCCTCACCTCACTCTTAGACTCCAGATCCATCCCTTCATCCCAGGCAGCTAGCTCACCTTCCTGACAAAGAGCTGGGGACAGTGGAGGCTGGCAGCAGCCTCTGAGAGACATGGCTCCCTCCGAGCACCACTCATTAAAGCATTCGCTTTGACACTGGGTTGTCTTCTGTGTTCTGGTCGGGGGTAAGTAATGGGAATTTGGGCATCAGATAAGGTTCAGTGGAGATCCCTGGATTGACAAATTAGAAACTAGAAGGGTCTTTGGGTGCACTGTTTTCTCTACGTTTCAGAATGTCTTGTGACAAAGGGTTCCACGGTCAAGTAAGTACAGGAAATTCCTGTACCCTTATTGGGGATTCTTGGTGATCAAAGTATGTTAAAGTCATCGATAAGTCCTGCAATGAACAAATCTATTTTGCTTTGTTTAGCCCACACTTACTTGACCTGTTACTGTGTAGCTCTACTTCTGTCTTTTTGCAGATAATAAACTGAGGCCCAAAGTTAGTATATTTCCCACAAATTGCAATAACAAATTAGAAAATACACTTGGGGTCCCATTCACAATAACAACAAAACCCATAAACTACAAAGGAGTAAATCTCACAAAAAACATGCAAACCCTGTATGAAGAAAATAGTATCTTTGTCCTGAAGGATATAAGACCTAATTAAATGGAGATATACCATGTACCTGAGTGGAAAGTTGTTATTAAAAGATGTTGATTCTCCAGTTTAATCCTTAAGTTCATTGCCATCCAAAAGAATTTTTTAACAAAACTTGAAAATCCTAAATTCCTGTGCAATATATATATGTAAAAACAGTGGAGGGGACTTCCCTGGTGGTCCAATGGTTAAGACTCCGTGCTCTCAATGCAGGGGGCCCAGGTTCGATCCCTGGTCAGGGAACTAGATCCCATATGCCGCAGCTAAGACCCAGCACAGCCAAATACATAAATTAATAAATATTTTTAAAAAACCAACAACAGTGAAGCTGTCAGGACTTCCCTGGCGGTCCAGTGGTTAAAACTCCGTGCTTCCACTGCAGGGGGCAAGGGTTCGATCCTTGGTCAGGGAACTAAGATCCTGCATGCTGTGTTGCTCAAAACAAAAACAAAAAAACAGTGGAAATGATGTATTTGACACGCTAGATAATCAAACACCAAAGCACTGGAATAAAAACAGGAGATTACTGACATAAGAATAAATTAATAGAGTGGGGGAGAGGGTTCAAAAGCAGCCCTATTTCTGGGAATGTAGTTTATGATAAATATGATTATTCAAATCGGGAGAAATGTAGGCTGTTAAATAATTTGATAGTTATAGCTGTACTCTGGAAGGCTACATAACTTTTAAAGTAATTTTGCAAAGAACCAAAAATGGAAAAACAAAAACGAGGCGCCACATTTAGTGTAAACTGGGAAGATGATTTGATGTTTATCAAAAGTTAAATACTTCATGATGTATGTAATCATTATGCTGTACGCCTTAAACATACAGTACTGTATGTCACGTCTCAAAACTGGAAGAGGGGAAAAAAGCAAACAAACACATTTTTTTAAAAAAGGTTAAATGCATATACTCTCAGCAAGTACACCTCAAAGAATTTACATCACAGATTTCCTTTTCCAGTTCTGTGGCAAAACTGAAGATGAAAGATTCTTTGGTGCAGCAAAATTTGTGATAACTGGGAACACCCTATATGTCCATTAGCAAAGGACTAACTATATAAGGCCTCTGTAAGATATATTATGCAACAGTTTTTTTAAAAATGAGGCTTATCAGTAGTGGGAAGCAGCCACACAGCACAGGGAGATCAGCTCGGTGCTTTGTGACCAACCAGAGGGGTGGGATAGGGAGGGTGGGAGGGAGACACAAGAGGGAGGACATATGGGGATATATGTATATGTATAGCTGATTCACTTTTTTATAAGGCAGAAACAAATACACCACTGTAAACCAATAAAGATGTTTAAAAAAAAAAAGCCAAGAGAAAGAAAAACACAAAGCTCAAAAAAAAAAAAAAAAAATGAGGCTTATCAGGACTTCCCTGGCGGCGCAGTTGTTAAGAATCCACCTGCCAATGCAGGGGACACGGGTTTGAGCCCTGGTCTGGGAAGATACCACATGCGACAGAGCAACTAAGCCTATGCGCCACAACTACTGAGCCCATGTGCCACAACTACTGAAGCCCGCGTGCCTAGAGCCAGTGCTCCGCAGCAAGAGAAGCCACCGCAATGAGAAGCTCACGCACCGCAGCAAAGAGTAGCCCCTGCTCGCCGCAACTAAAGAAAGCCCGCAGGCAGCAATGAAGACCCAACACACACAAAAATAAGTAAATAAAATTTTTTTAAATGTTAAAAAAAATGAGACTTATTAATCTATATTGTTGAGCAATATTCAAAAAATATGTCAAGTGTAAAATAGTGAAGTACAAAGCAGTGTGGTTAGTATGCTCCCATTTGGGCCGAATTACACATAAGTGCTCAAATTCCTATAGAATATTTCTAGAAAGATAATCAAGAACTGATTCTGGACTATAAATTCTAACCACCAGGGCCTTCTGCATTTATAAGCCAAAACAAAGCCAAAGGTCAGAGTGAACCAGATCCTTCTTTCTATGCTGTTATCTGTAGACTTGGGGGCCACCAAGTTGGCAGCCTTAGGAAGTGCCCAGTGTGCCACTGCCAGTCATGGGGACTAGGCAGCAGCTGGCTGTAGCCCAGGACTGGTACACCAGGTAGCACCTGGAACAGAAGTACTAGGTATCCCCTTGGTGTCAGGGGCCTCACTCAGTGTTGTCATACCCAGGCCCTCATTCCTGTTCTCCACAGCAGAACAAGGGGGCCACATGGCAACAGCAGGGATCAGTGTCATGGCTGCAGAAAGAGGGCACCAGTTTGACCAAGGACACTCACTGCCCAGAACCATATCCAGAGCAGGAAAGAAACAGACACCGGACTGAGGGATGGAAAGCAGGGGAACCTTTGTTTACTACTGACTTGAGTTTTGGCCTTGAGCAAGATGATTTATCTCGGGGTTTGGGGAGGCACCTTTTAAAAATAGGTGTAAAGATACCATATACACTAATCAACAGATATCCCTGGGTATCTATCTACAGTGAAGGATGAAGTGGGTCCCCTGGATGTTCAGAACAGATTCACAACTCCTGCTCCCTTTCTGGGCCCAGACAACACACCCATCCCTTGGTCCCTCTTCTCTGACACCCCCAGTATCCCATACCCTAGTTCCTGCTCCCTGAGGACACAGTCTGACTTTCAAAAAATTAACAGCATTATTAAAATATAATTCATATACCATACAATTAACCTGTCTGAAGTGTACAATTCAGTGTTTTTTTGGTATATTCACAGGGTTATGCGACCATCACAGTCTGATTTTAGAATATTCTCATACCCTCAAAAGAAACTCCATACCCATTAGCTGTCACTTCCTATTGATCCAAGCCCCTCCCCCCACCAACCCTTTTCCCTCAGCCCTCGTCAATGGCTAATCTACTTTCAGTCTCTATAGGTTTGCCTATTGTGGACATTTCATGTAAATGGAGTCATACAATATGTGGTCTTTTGTGACGGATTTTTTACTTGGCATCATGTTCTCAAGGCTCATCCATGTTGTAGTTTGATCAATTCTTCATTCTTTTTTATTGTCAAATAATATTCCATTGTATGGCTATGCTACCTTTATTTATCCTTTCATCAGCTGATGGACATTTGGGTCTCCATCTTTTGTCTATTGTGAGTAATGCTGCTGTGAACATTCATGTACAAGTTGTTTTTTTTTAAATGAACTAAGTGAGCCTGTCTTTTTTTAAAATACATTTACTTATTTTATTTTATTTATTATTTTTGGCTGCACTGGGTCTTCATTGCTGCGCACGGGCTCTCTCTAGTTGTGGTGAGCGGGGACTACTCTTTGTTGCAGTGCACGGGCTTCTCATTGCGGTGGCTTCTCTTTGTTGTGGAGCACAGGTTCTAGGTGCGCAGGCTTCAGTAGTTGTGGAATGCGGGCTCAGTAGTTGTGGCTTGCGGGCTCGGTAGTTGTGGCTCATGGGCTGTAGAGCACAGGCTCAGTAGTTGTGGCGCACGGGCTTAGTTGCTCCGTGGCATGTGGGATCTTCCCAGACCAGGGATCAAACCCATGTCCCCTGCACTGGCAGGCGGATTCTTAACCACTACGCCACCAGGGAAGTACCTGTACTTTTGGGTGGACAAATTTTCAATTCTCTGTGTATATATCTAGGAGTGGAATTGCTGGGTCATATGGTAACTCTATGTTTAACCATTTGAGCAACTGTCAGACTGTTTGCCAAAGTGGCTGCACCATTTTACATTCCCACCAACAGGGTATGAATGTTCCAGTTTCTCCACATCTTCACCAACAGTTCTTATTATCTGTCTTTTTTATTACAGCCATCCTAGTAGGTGTAAATTTGTTGTTTTGATTTACATTTCCCTGGCGGCAAATGATGTTGAGGATCTTTTCATGGGCTTATTGGCCATTTGTATATCGTCTTTGGATAAATATCTATTCCAAGTCCCTTGCCCATTATTATTATTATTTTTTAATTTGGCTGTGCTGGGTCTTAGTTGCGGCACGTAGGATCTTTTAGTTGCAGCATGCAAACTCTTAGCTGTGGCATGTGGGATCTAGTTCCCCGACCAGGGATCAAACCCGGGCCCCCTGCATTGGGAGCACCAAGTCTTAGCCACTGGACCACCAGGGAAGTCCCCCTTTGCCCATTTTTTAAATTGGATTGATTCTGTTGAGTGGTAAGACTTATGTATTCTAGATACAAGTTCCTTATGATTTGCAAAAATTCCCTCCCGTTGTGTGGGTTGTATTTTTACTTTCTTGATGGTGCCCTTTAAAGCACAAACATTTTTAATTTTGATGATGTCCAATTTGTCTATTTTTGTCTATTTTTGCTTGTGCTTTGAGAGCCATATCTAATAACCCATTTCCTAATGCAAGGTCATGAAAATTTATGCCTATGTTTTCATCCAAGGGTTTTATAAACATTTACAAAGTTTATAATTTAGTTATAAATGTAAAGGTTTAAAATGCATAAAAGTTTTTTTCAAGTAAACTATGTTTTTATAGCTAAAAGCTCTTACATTTAGATTTTTGATCCATTTTGAGTTAATTTTTTATTTTTTGAGTTAATTTTTGTATATGGTTTGAGGTAAGGGTCCAACTTCATTCTTCTGCATGTGGATATCCAGTTGTCCCAACTCCATTTACTGAAAAGACTATTTTTTCTCCACTGAATTGTCTTGACTTCATTGTTGAAAATAAACTAACTGTAAATATAAGGGTTTATTTCCAGACTCTCAATTTTATTCCCTGGGTATATATCTTTCTTTATGCCAGTATCACATTGTTTTGCTTACTGTAGCTTGGTAGTAAAATTTTAAATCAGGACCTGTGAGTCTTCCAACTTGTTCTTCTATTTCAAGATTAGTTTTGTTTTTCTAGATCCCTTGCATTTCCATATGAATTTTAGGATCAGCTTGTCAACTTTTGCAAAAAAGAGAAAGAAAAGCAAGCTGTCTGGGATTCTGATAGGGATTGCATTGGCTCCGTAGATCAATTTGAGGAGTACTGTCATCTTGACAATATTAAATCTTCTGACCCGTGAACATGGGGTGTTTTTAAATTTATTTAGATTTTAATTTCTTTCAACAGTGTTTTATAGTGTTCAGTGTATAAATC